CTGTCTGTCTGTCTGTGTGTCTGTGTACCTGTCTGTGTGTCTGTCTGTCTGTCTGTCTGCCTGTCTGTCTGTCTGTCTGTGTGTCTGTCTGTCTGTCTGTGTGTCTGTGTACCTGTCTGTCTGTGTGTCTGTGTACCTGTCTGTCTGTCTGTGTGTCTGTGTACCTGTCTGTCTGTCTGTCTGCCTGTCTGTCTGTCTGTCTGTGTGCCTGTTGCTTCCTGTAACGTCCCTGGTGAGGTGAAGGACTGTCACGCACCGTAGCGATGCAGGTTTCTGCCTCATCACTCATCACCTTTCTTGTGTTAAAGCTCAGTGGAGAATCATTTGGTGCCAGGTGTGTTGCTGACGTACAGACAGGTGGTGAGTTAAAGGACGAGCGTATAAACTTAATTACGGACGATACAGTTCACGACTTTCTTGATCCACCCTTCAAAAGTAGAAATGAAGCGAGTTTCCGTTTTAATCTTTCTGTGATCAAATTTTTATTATGATTTAAAGGATCAGTTCTTGCTGGATCTTTCATACACCCACCTTCCCTCATTTTAACAAAATGAATAAATAAATAAGTAAATAAATATATAACCTTTTTCCAGTGCTTTGGACGCAGCTATAGAAGCTCCAGAGGAATGATGCTTAAAGACTTGATGGAAATGGATTTTCTGGGATCTGATGCAGTAACACTGACGGAGAAAAGGAGCTGCTGCTTCCTGCTTCCTACTCAAACACCGGACTCTCACTGATGATCTATTAATAATCTATTTGCATTAGTTGTTGTTGTTGTTGTTTGTGAGAAATGAGGCCAGTTTCTTGGGTGGCTCTAAATACTCCACCTCCATTGTTGCAGCAGATACAGCTTCAGTTTGAAGCTCTGTGCTTTATTTGACTTCCCTGCTTCAGTGTTTGCTTTTACCTGTGACTTTCTTCTAACCCACATTATCAGACGGACGTGGCTGCGACGTCTCAGGTGCACATGCTGCTTTGGGGAACAGGTGTGGGACAGCGTAGGTTAGTGCGGTGAAACACAGTAAAGTACGGTGACAGAGCGCGTCGAAACGAGGACATGAACCGGACTGCTGCGTCCAGCACCTGCTCTCTGAAGCAGAGACATCGTCCCCGCACGGCCACAGACGTGCAGCGAGTAATCGCTGTGAGATATTCCAGTGAGTTGAAGTGACGTCTGAGGTGAATGAGGCGGGATGAAGCCGTTGCTCGTTGTGCTTCCCCTCCCCCGGGGCCTGACTCTCAGGACTAAATATTTAGCCGTGCAGTCGGTCGTCAGACGGGTGGATGTGTTTGTGCCGCCTGCTGCTTCTGCTCTCATCTCCTGACAAATGGAAAGTCTGTAATGGCGTTGAGCGCTCCTTATGCTCAGTTTATTATCTACCTGAGCACCTCTCATCCTCCTGCTTCCCTGGCTCTCCATCTCCATCCTCCTCTCTCTCTCTCTCTCTCTCTCTCTCTCTCTCCTACGCTCAAAGGCCCAGATGAATTTCAGTTTGACAGCACCCTGACGTCCGAGCCCCTCCATCTCTTCATCCTTCTCTCCCCTCTTTTCTGTCTCTCACAGGACAAAACCTCATTTTCTTTGTCTGAGCCGCTCTGCTGGCCACCTCCAGGTTTCCCTCCGTCGCTTCATCTCTTTCCTCCCACTTTCAACAGCTCTTTAGCTTCGATTTTCACTGTCTCCTGCTGTTCAGCGCGGCATTTCTTTTTTAACTACACTCGACTGTGCAGGCTTTTCACTGGAATTAGTTTTACCCTCCAGCGTCGGTGTAAGAATTCAGTACAACAACCAAACGACTTGTGCTTATGTTAATGAAAACACTAGGATGTTCGATGTCCGGCCGTTGTGTTGAAAGGCTGAACAGACCTTAGAGACTCCAGAGAGTCGTCACCGTGGTTTATTACAGCACAACAAAACATTTATTTCATAGGTAAAAATACTTTAATGATATATTGACCATCGGACAGGAAATGTCCTCCGTTTCGCTTCACCTGTATAATGATAATGGTCCACCACAGACAGCCAGGGAAACCCCTGCAGGGTTAGAGACCATGGAGAACAGCTGTAATATTTCAGAGCTGACAGGCGGAGGATCTGGGTTCAGTGTGTCGTCAGTTGGATCGAGTGCAGCGGTCTTAAGTTAATCTCACACCTCCTGCCTGGTGGGAGTGAGACTGAAGGTCAGTCAGTCACGACTCAGCTGGGAGAGGAGGGAGAGCGTGTCTGTGGTTTCCATCCTACTGGATCCGTGTGAGCGGGTGTGATGCCGAGCGGAGGGATATGAAGGAGGCTAAGTTTAGATCTCCATTATAAGACTGATCAGCGTCTGTATGCAGGAGAGAGCTCTGACGGCAGGACGAGTATCGCTGCTGCTGTTTGTACTGAAGCCTCACTGAACAGTTTGAGCTTCAGTTCAGATGCTGAAGTCACAGCAGCCGATCGATCGCGTGTCAGGACGAGGTTAGCCTAGCTTAGCATGAAGTAAAGCCTGGAAGAAGGGGGGGCAACAGTCAAGTCAATTTATACAGCACCGAATCCCAGCAGGAGTTCCCTCAGGGCTGTTCCATCTCGTCGTCATATCTCACCTTGTCTGCACTAAAACTGACGTTGGTCATTTTTAACAATATATTTTACCAGATGAAGATTTTAGTCATCAGACGTCTGAAGTTGTCAGAGAAGCAAGCAGCAGCTCAGACCTCCTGTGCTTTAAACAGGTGATTAGAACAGGTAAAAACACTGGTGTGTCTGTGGGTCGTTCGGCTAACTCAGATCATCAAAACAGAAAAGTAATGAATGGCGAGATGAAAATAAAAAAGAAGGAATTAAATGAAAATAAATGAAAGTAAAACTCCAGGTGGCAGCTGAACCCAACTGAACCAGACTTTCAACAAAGAATAAAACCTGTTCGACTGAAATAAAAATAACAAAGTGACGGACTGACAGAAGAAACAGGAGGTAGAGAAAACAAACAGCCACATTACTATCCCAGCATGCTTTGCGTCATTAGGTGCTGACCTGCTGTTAATGTCTTAATTGGGTGATTAGGATCCATGTTTTTAACTGGACAATCAAAATGAAATATTACTGAGTTTTAAATGGTTTCTATTTAGAGCTTCTTCTTCTATTAATAATTGATTGTCTCAGTTCTGGAGGTAAAAGTGAGTCTGCTGCAGAAGAAGCTTCTGCTCCAGTTCAAGTCAAAGTCCTGGATTCAAATCTACTGATTATTGATTATATGTCTGTTTGTTTGTTAAATCTTCATCAGAGAGAGAGAGAGAGAAAATACTATAATTTGTAAACTGCTTTGGCAATAACATGTTTTTGTTCATGCTAATAAAGCTGCTTTTGAATTTGACTTTAAGAGAGAGAGGTAGAGAGAGGTAGAGTATGAGAGAGAGAGAGAGAGGCCGTCCCTTTGTTAGGAGCCACAGCCGCAACAATTTACATGAGGGCCAAGCCTCCTCACAGCTGATTGGTCCAGAGCAGCCCGCCTCCCTCCAGCGCCATACTCCAGCCAATCAGGACATCACTCACATGGGGTGGGACACACACACACACACACACACACACACACACACACACACACACACACACACACACACACACACACACACACAGGAAAGGGTGTTTTCTGATGGAGGGAGGGGACAGAGAGCTGAGGTGGATGATGGGTAGTGAAGTTATTAGTGGGTGGATTCTGCCCCCTGGTGGCACTGCAGTGATACAACCACACACACACACACACACATCACTCTCTCATTAGAACACTGGTACAGGACGACTTCACACTGTAAACACTCCAACACTGAGACCTGGACATCGTTCACATGTCCAGGAGACAAGGAGATAAGCACACAGAGGGAGAGAGAGACAGGTGGAGACCATTGGAGATAGAGAGAGAGACAGGTAGAGACACAGAGAGAGACAGGTAGAGACAGATGGAGTCAGAGACAGGTGGAGACAGATGGAGACAGAGACAGGTGGAGACAGGTGGAGACAGCCTGGACATACCAGGAAATGATCAAAGAATGAGACACAAGCTGAAGCTGAAGGTGTAAAGTTAAAGGCTCAGAGGAGAGGAGCATGATGGGAAAAGACCCGTCAGTCAATCGATCGATCAATCAAACTTGTAAAAGTTGTGACTGTCTTGTTGAGTAATGTTGTGACGTTACCACGACGACAAGTGAACTGTGTGTTCAGAGACAAAGCAACTCCATGTTCAGAACGTGTGTGTGTGTGTGTGTGTGTGTGTGTGTGTCATATTCTCTGGATCAGTCTGTCATGTTTCTGTACAGAAAAAGAGAAAATCAATTGTGGACTGTGGCCCAAGCACACACACAGAACAGTCCTCTGACTGGAGGGTGAGACCAGGATGGAGTCTCCACAGGTTCATGATCTTGTGACGATGACGCTGTGATCACATGATCTTCGACACAGAGACTCTTTAAACTTTGACTGTGTTTTGGAGGGAAATCGATGAAACTTTGACACGACTTTACACGTCATCCAGAGAATCTCTCCCTCTCTCTCCCTCTGTCTCTCCCTCTCTCTCTGTCTCTCTCTGTCTCTCTCTCCCTCTCTCTCTGTCTCTCTCCCTCTCTCTCTCTCTCTCCCTCTCTCTCTCTCTCTCTCTCTCTCTCTCTCTCTCGTCTGTTCGCTTTTTATTCCTCTGCAACGCCGGCGGCCATTTTGTTTTCCGTCCGTTCGTCTCATTCTCGTGGACACGATATCTCAGTCACACCTTGACGTTCATTCACTAGAAGTCAACGGTGAACTGATTAGATTTTGGTGGTCAAAGGTCAAAGGTCAGTGTGACCTCACAAATCACTTTTCAGCCATTACTCAAGACTTCACAGTAATTATGACAAAGTTTCACACAGATGTTTAATTGTTCTCTGACTCTGGAGAAACAGGAAGTGACCTGGAACTGGTCTGAGGGGCGGAGGGATACGACCACGAGGAGGTGACTCTAGTTCTTCTGTTTGTGTCTCTGCAGGTGTCCATAGGGAAGATGTACGGGGCCCAGAAGATCGTGGTGGAGTAACAGCTGCAGGAGGAGGAGGACGGTACCTTCAGAGACGGGAGCGACCCACCGCCCTGACATCACCGCCGACCGCCATCCTGCTTCTTCTCTGTTTTAATCTGACACGTCCGTCACTGGGTGGAGGTGTGAAATGCATTGTGGGAGATGTAGGACTAAAGGAGTAAAGCTGTGAAGTACCTGAAGTTTGTTTGGAGTTTAGATGTTGATGTTTTCAGGGCTGCACTGATCACATTATTGATTATTGATTGCTGCGTCCACTTCAGCTGTGACTAATTATCATTCATTTATCACTTATCATTTAATCTGATCAAGATACTGGAAAATGTTTCCGAACCCCAAAGATGTTGTTCACCACCGTCACAGGAAGGTTTAATTACAGACGAGTCGTCGTCGTTTGACCAGAAACTTATTTAAAGTCGTCACATTGATTCATTTGAGCGATTGAACAGGAAGAAATCATCAAGTGTTTGACAAGAAGAGAAGAGAGATTATAAATTTACAACATGTAACAACATTTAGTTTCTTATAAACGTTTCTTCTTCATGTGTTCAGTCCATCACCTCTGATTCAGACACTGTGGAAACTAATTGGCTTTACTAACGGGTTTTATTTGGACTGTAGGAGGGACGTGGTGTGGCTGGTTACTGGTTCCCACAGCTTCCAGTGCAGAGACTCGCTCTGTATGAGACCGAGACCAGGATCTGTCCCTGACCTGAACCGGGTGCTGTGAGAGTCTGAACAGAACTTTAAAGACCCGATCGTCCTTCAGTCGCTCGGAGTAACCGGAGGACGTTCAGAGTCTCGGACGTGGAGACGGACTCCAGGTGGCGCTGTGGTTCGGACAGAACCGGGTCTCTCTCAGTCCGGCTCGTCCTTTAGCAAACTGCTTCAGTTCATAAGAATCGAATCCACTCAGAGATCAGACGACACGTGAGCGTTTAAAACCAAAAATCCAAAATCAAAATGGCAGACGCTTCGTTTTCTTTCTGTGACCTGACACAGGACTCGTCGGCCAATCACGTTGACCTGTGTCTGATCGATCAGTGCATCCCTGACTGTCCCTTTGTTAGTGTTATTTTTGTATTAACGCGCACAATTAGTCCGTCGTACATGAGGTCGTCTCGTTGTGTAACCCCGAGCGACGGAGAGGAAGTCACACAGACAAGAATAAAGTGGTGAAACTCATCTGTGGCTCAGTGTTCTGTCAAACGACCTTTCTCTTCTTCTACAGCAGAATGCAGACGCCGCGCCGTCACACTCTGACTGAGGAGGTGATGATGTCACAGGAAGTCCATCTTCCTCACTGACTGTCAAAGTTAAAGCCGTTAAATAAAGTGGGACTGAAAGAGAAGAGACTGTTGATCATCACAGTCTCACAGGGAATAATTATTATTTTATATCATATCTTCATATCATATATTACAGCACATTATTTTACATTATATTATATTATTGTAGGTTTTATTTTTATCTATTTCTGTCACCAGTATTTCAAAGTAAAAGTAAGAATCTGACTTTGGTTTAACTCGACCCAGATCCGTGTGTGTGTGTGTGTGTGTGTGTGTGTGTGTGTACCATGAAGCGCACACACAAACAGCGTGACTGGATGTAGCAGCAGATGAGGTGAGCTCAGAGGTGCGTTTGGTCGGGGGGGGTGAAGGTGAAGGAGGTGACTGACACACAAGGTCCCACCAGCTGCTATAAATAGACCCATCTGTTGGTTTAAGGACGAGCACGGTGGCCCACTTCTACACACACACAAACACACACACACACACAAACACACACACACAGAGGTGTAAAAGATCACATTGCTCAATCAGTGATTGCTGTTTCATCAGACGAACACACACACACACACACACACACACACACACACAGGAGGTTTCTGCAGAGTCACGCACGTGTTCTGGTCCACACAGAGGACTCCAGACTGGATCCTGACCCAGGACTCCCTGCTGACGGTCCACACTGCCAATTTGGCATCGAACCAAAGAGAGAAATTATCCTGCAAATCAAGTTTCATTCATTCTCTCTGAGGCGACGTCACGTGACCCAGTTTTCTCTTTTCACGTCTGAGACGGACACGAGACTCATGAACCATCAGAACAGGAAGAATTCATTTAGTCAGTTACTGACTGAGCGATGAATCATCCGATTGTTTCAGCCTGAAATAAATACAAATAATTTAAAAGTAAAATAAACATATTTAGAATAAGTTAGAAAACTGATTTTACAATCCGCATCTTATTTCATGTTGAATTCTGGATTCTGGCTCATTTTTATAGAAACTCCAGCTGCTTTGAATCCGCTGCTCTGAACACTTCTGTTCTCCACAGCACGCAGCTAAGGCTCATGGGTATTGTTGTTTTTAGAGGCAGCTGAGTTTCTTAAACTGCTTGATTTGAAAGTTGAATGTGGTGGCAGCAGTTTTCTCACAGCACAGGATGAGAGGTGCGCTTCATATTCTCACCAGTACAGAATCACTGTGAGAACGAGCCGCTGACTGTCAAGTGCTTTCCGTGCGCTGGTCTGAGTCTCTGGGTCGAGTTGAGGTCGTGAGGTCACAGCTCTGACAGTGAAATATCTCTGCATCACCCTGAAGCTGTGTCAGTGTTGACACACCAAACAGATGTGGTCAGGTGTGTCAACAGGACCAGGTCTGGACTTTGGTCGTGGTGTAAAGAGGATGGACGGCGTCGCTGCGCTCACGATGAAACAACCTGCCACATGTTATATGTTGATGACAGAAACATCTGTCAGGTGTTCAATCTGAGTCTGGACCAGAACCAGCATCAGTGATGGTGATGCCATTAGCTTTAGCATGCTAACATGTTAGCTTTACTGTCCGGTCCAGGAGATGCTGAGCCACACTGATCAGTTTGGATCCATCTTTACACTGTTGTAAATATTAGAGTGTAAGTGGTGTGTTTGGTGCGTGTGTGTATGTGTATACACCCCCCCCCCCCCCCAAAAAAAAAAAAAAAACTTTACTCAAGGGCCACTTCCTAGCTTCATCCAGTCCAGAGGTTTCAGTCACATCTAACAGTCTTCCTCAGTAAACATGTCCAATCATGTGACCACATCTGAACAGATGCAGTAGAAAGCTGCAGGAAAAGCTAGTAAGTGGGGTCTTAAAAAAGGTAAAATTAAAGACGCTGATTCGTTTGATCAGAATTTATTGTTTGACAAACTCCCGCCCTGTGTGTGGCAGAGCAGCGCACCTGAGTGACGTAAGACACGCCCACTGCTAACATTCCTGATTCTTATTAAACGCACCATCAACACGGGTGACGTCATTTGTCACTACAAGGCTGCACAAAGAGACGTGACAGCTGCACCTGCCGCTCACCTGGAGCAGCCAGTAAACATCAAACCATTTGCCATGCACAGCTTTTATTTTGAAAAGAATACACATCCTCTTATAACAGATAAAGCAGCAGTGAGACAGACACTTGTGTTACTGATTGTAATCGTTGTCCATTAAAGCTCAGAACATCCAGGAGGCTGACGTCACTAACGGGTCATGAGAGAGTCCGTTTGATCCGACTGGAGGTTCAGAAAAAAACATCAATAATGTGTCTTGTGTTGTTGTCCTTCAGAAACACGTGGAGCTTCCGGTCAGAGGTTTGTGATGAGACGGAGACAGATTTAGGTTAGAAAAAGGCGCGAAATGATCATTTAGAAGTCAAAGAAACAGGTGATGGAGGCAACATCTGGGACAGGTAGTCCCCTGAACTCACCACACAGATGATGTGTTTATTCACCAGATGCAGCAGCTGCATGTCACTGCGTTTCTTTCAGCACTCGGAGCGGATGTAGAGCGTTTTACGCACAGATGGACAACTTTTTACGCACGGATGGAGAGCTTTTTACGCACAACGCAGAGCCGGTCAGGTGGCGTGGAAAGCGGCGCTGACGAAGGGCGCGGTGCTGGGCATGCAGTGGTACCTGAGGGTGTAGTTCTGCCCCTCGTTGTTGTCCCAGAACTCCCCCTCCTCATTCCTCAGGTACACGGCGAAGTGCACGGCCGAGCTGGTGTCCATGAAGGGCGGTGTGTACACGGTGAAGTTGAACCGCTCACCCACAAATTGCGGCTGATCCGCGGCCACGTTCAGAGCCTGCGCGTCCACGTGGGACAGCCAGTCGTTGAAGGTGTACCTTACCCCGACCTCCTTGTCGGTGCAGCCGGTTAAGACCCGGATCTGCCCCCGCAGGTCAAACTGGGTGATGGTGACCTTCTCCAGGCAGACGCGGAGCAGCCGGACCCTGCGCTCCGTGTCCCGGGGCTCCGGGAAGCACGCGAACAGACGGTCCGTGTCCAGGTTGGACTTGAAGCTTTGGCACAGGTCGTTCAGTAGGTCCTGCTGCTGCTGTGGCGGGAAGCTCTTGTGCCTGGACAGAACTTTGTTCGGGATCTGCGGCTCCTCCAGCGAGCTGAAGTGCTTCACACTGGCCAGGTTCAGGCCCATGGAGTCGGCGAACTTCACCCGCTTCCTCTCGTTGCTCCCGGGGACACCGTCCAGGAGCGCGGCCGGGTAGGCGGGCAGGGACTGCGCTCTCCTCCGGTCTCTCATGAACCTCTCCAGGCGGGAAGCGTCCGCCTCGTCGTCCAGATCTCCTTCCTCCTCCTCCTCCTCCACCTCCAGGCCGTTCTCCACTGATTGCCCCGGGGAGGAGGGCGACTCTCCCCCGGTGTGGGGCGGTGAGCGGGACATTTCTGCCCGGCAGCCAGGCGGCCTGCGTGCCTGTGTGTGTGTGTGTGTGTATGTGTGTGTGTGGGGAGCACTACACAGGAGTCCCGGTGCGGGGCCGCTTGTATAGAGAGACTCCCGCCCCCTGCAGAGAACTACGTGTTGGTGACAACAGAGCGCGTGCAGTGTTCCCAGGCTGCAGCTGATGTCACGCACGGAAACACGCGCACCGTCACGTAAGAAACATCAACTGTCACCTGCTTCAGTGCAACAGAACAGAGACGGTTTAAATAGGCTGCTACATCATCATCATCATCATCATCATCATCATCATCATCATCGTTAGTGAACTACATGTAATTAAACTAGTTGAGCTACATTTTGCAGTAACATGTTCACAGTGATTCAAGTGGTAAAATCATTTCTCTCAAGTTACAACTGAAACAAATGAAGCATTTTTATTTTTATTTTCCCATTGTTTCTCTTCCGTCATCGAACCACGTTGACCAGCCCCCACCACACCTGACCTCTGTGACCGTGACGTAGAATGAAACAAAAGTTTCTGGAAAGTAAAAGATTATGATTTCATGTTAATGCCGTTAATAATTCTCCACAGAAACTGTTATAGATAGTTATAACACAACATGTAATAATACAATATAATATAAAGTCATTATAATATGCATATCATTAAGTATCTATTAATTGATTATCAATCCTCTGGAGGTGTTATTTTTTGGCGGGACTGTGGCGGTGAAAGAGTCTTTATCAACAAGATATGGAGCCTGTGATCCGGATTATTAAACACATGTTTTCATGTTGGTTATGTTTTTAATTATGGTGATAAAAAAAATAAAAGTTTAAAAAGACAAATTAAAAACAAACAAACAACAACAACAACAACAGCTCGAGGATAAATAGTTTCTGAGAATGAGACAAACATCACAATCATGTTGTTATGTAATGGCGGGTCCACGTGGACCCAACAAAGTGCGTCACCCAGCATCAAGTAAACAAACACATGACGTCATTACTCTGAGGTCACGCTGTTTTAAAGGTTAATACACGGAGACTTTAACTGTTTCATGACTTCATGATGTTGAAATTCATTTAATTAATCAGTTTCTCGCTGTGGACAAAGTGTCACTTCAGACCTTTGGCCACTAGAGGGCAGCAGCTGCTTCTGTGCTTCACTGAGACCTCTCACTCCGCTCTGATTAAAGTGGAGGAAGAAGAAGATTCACATCTGAAGGAAAAGAACTAAAACTGAAGTTTCAGCAAATCAAATTAATTCTATTCTTAATTCTATTGTAATTTATTACATTAATATTGTTATTGACATTTTTTCTTTGATATTTTAATTCCATTAATTGATGGTAATTAATTACGCTTTGGCAACACATAGAGAATGTCAGCACAGTAAAACCTGTTGATCTGAAACTTGAAATTGAGAGTGAAGAAGAAGAAACAAAGTCCTGGTTCTGGTTCTGGTTCTGGTTCTGGTTCTGGTTCTGGTTCTGGACGTTTCACTCATCTTTGTTATTTTTTAAATACTGGATCACTTGAACAGTGAAATGAAACCCTCCAACAGGTTTGAGGTGAAAGCAGGAAGAGTTTGTATCATTTCTATGAGTTAGTCTGATGATCCGTCTGTTCCACACCTTAAATCCACCAGGTGGCGCCGCAGGACGGAGCGTTGATGAAGAGTGAGTCTGAGCTGCACTCATGTTGAACATCAGTCTGATACAGCTGGTAACAGCACACCACACCCTCAGCTCACCACAATAAAAGAAGTTTCATCACCAAATGAGATTTCAAAATAAAACTCACGTCCCTCTCAGGACAAACATGTTCCTACACGTGTAAATATTCTGTCATTACATCAGTTTGTTTTAAAGCCTCTGATCATGAGTTCAGGGACTAAAGGTCCAACGCATCGTTTTACATAAATCATGACAGACACACTCTCAGCTTATTGGCATTTATTACCCAGCATGCACTGCATCAAGGTTAAAAATCTCAGGGTTTGCGTAACTTAGCTGAGCTGTGATAATATAAATTAATGTTATTTTATCTTGGTTTAAGTTTTTTATAAACTCAAAGCTCAAACATAAGAAATAAAGTTGTTTTCTGAATCATCCAGATTTAAATTTATCGTTTCATCGTGTTTCCTGTTTGTTTTAATGTGGACAGTTTTATTTCCCTGCACACTGAGGTCTGTGACCTAATGGATCCTTTTCTTTTTCTAAAACCTTTTTTTCCTACTGGTTTCTGTTTTTATTTTCATTTACATATTTTATCATCTACTGTCTATTTATTATTACAGTTCAATGACAGTATGAATGTGCTCAGATTAACATGTAAAACGTACTGACAAACGTCCAGAAACTTCACTTTCTAGCTTCAGTTTAAATCTGAGCTCAGGTGAAATTTAATAAGTCGAGTCCTCATCATTAATATGAAAATAATCCGATGCATTAAAGTCTAATGTCACAGTTTTACCTGGAGAGTTTGAGTGTTGATCCAGAGGCTCCTGCAGCTTCATATGAAGTTCATATAAAAACAGGTTTCAGTGTTTCCTGCTGGTTCAGGACTAAACTTCATTCACACTCAGGTCCAACACACCAGCACTGCGCGTGAAAGTCACATGACTGCAGTGTGATGACATCATCACGCTGTTAGCTGCTGATTACATCTTTATGAAATCATTTACATTCAGTGACACAGATATAAAAAGATACAACAAATTATACATCCAAGATTTCAAATCATTGATTTTAGAAAACATTTCACAATATCACAGTAAATTCAACAACGTGAATGACTTCATTAACATAATGCCATCTGATTGGTTGGTTAAACAGCATGAAATGCATCATGGTTATTGTAGGACGTAGAGTTAGTGATCCTTGAACAGACATTTCCCTCTGTGATGTTTTTAATCCACTGGTCTGCAGCCGCCGCTCGTCCTCACACCTCATTGGCTGCTGCAGCTGTCAATCATCAGTCTGGGAAAATGGCTGTAGTGCCTGCTGATGACATCACAGCTGCGTGTCTGATGATGTCACTCGCTCTCTGTGGTGTAGATGCGGTACATCAGCGTGATGATGGCCGCCACCAGAGAGGGAATCAACCAGTTAGACCACCAGCTGCAAGAGAGAGAGAGAGACAACTAGTTAACTAAACCAGTTAGACCACGAGAGAGACAACTGGTTAACTAACTAACTAACTAACCGACTAACCAGTTGGAGGAGAAAAACAGACAGCTAATTAAACGTGTAACTAAATAACTAACCAACCAATCAACCTGTTATACCCCCAACTGAGACTTAACTAACCTGTAAACCAGCAGAAAGACAGCTGGTTAAATATTCAACTAACCAATGAGATCACCCCCTGGTGTGAGGCAACTAACTAACTAACTAACTAACTAACTAACTAATTAACTGACTGACTATCATAGGCTATAATACAATACAGTGAGATCAGTAATCTTCTGATGTTTTTCTGTGTGTGTGTGTGTGTGTGTGTGTGTGTGTGTGTGTGTGTGTGTGTACCTGTTGTCGTCCTTCAAAGTGGTCACCAGTGTTTCCTGTAAAACACAAACCACAGACATCATCATCATCATCATCATCATCATCATCATCATCATCATTTTTTAGTCCCTTGTATGCGTCAAGTTCGAAGAAAACTTGATCCTACATTTCCCATAATGCAACTCCACAGCACCTTCATTAACATGTAACACAAGTCAGACTTGTTCTCTTACCTCAGGCTTGGCGAGCTTGTCTCTGTCGTCCTGCAGACACACACACAGACAATTATTATATCAGCTCTGTTACACTTAGTTTTTACACACACACACACACACACACACACACACACACACACACACACACACACACACACACACTGACCGGGTGCAGCTCTCCTATCACCATGTCAGCAGCCATCTCTCTGGCGTCGCTGGAGTGACCGACGTCCTCAAAGCTCTCGGTGGCGTTTCCTCCCGCCTGCTCCCTCAGCACCTCCTCTCCTCCGGGGTGCTGAGACGAAAAACAAACACACAGAACACACCTTTGACCTTTGACCTTTAGTCACCAAATTCTAATCAGTTCATCCTTGAGTCCAGGTGAATGTTTTTACCAAATTTGAAGAAAGTCCCTCAAGGTGTTACAGAGATATCACAAGGCCAAAACCATGATTTGTGAGGTCACCGTGACCTTGACCTTTGACCTTTGACCCCCAAAATATAATCAGGTCATTCTTTAGTCCTGGTGAATGTTTGAGCCAAATTTGAACAATAATGGCTGCTGCTCTGACTGTCGCTGGTGCGGAGGAATAAAAAGTCACAGCACATCTCAACAGAAGAGAAGAAGAAGAAGAAACCTGAGAGGTGTGGCAAAATAATCTCAACTCAAACGCCCACTCACTGAATTTTTAGAGCTTACAACTACATGTCATGGTCTTCTTCAAATGTCACTGAGATTTCTTTGTCACATGTGATTTTCTCTCCTCAAACCATCATTAAAAAAACATGGTGACACTTTACAAGAGCAGAGATAAAGCTGCTGGATGTAAAGCGTCTGTCCAGGTGAATCTCTCCAGGTGAATCTCGTCGCAGGACATTGTCCAGTTACACACACTAAGATGTCCGAGTGTCTCCGTCTCAGTGTCCTGCCGATGATTTACCACAGCCTGTGATACGAGGCTGCAGCTTTAAGAGCAGAAACACACAGATGTGTTTGTCTTGGAGTGAACCATTAAACTCAGCTGCTGCCAGATGTTAAGAAACAACTGGATCCACTGACCCCAAACTTCCCTCCAACATCAACAGGATTGCTGTTCAGTCTCGTCACACTATCAGACGCGTCTCCGTTTCGTGCCGTTGCTGCGGTAACTCGACCCCTGGAGACTGGGTTAGCTATCGGACGACACGCCCATACCTTGAACCCTGTACGGCAGAACACCTGTGGCAATAAAAAGGCTGGATCCAGTTGACTGGTCAAAGGTCAAAGGTCAGTCAGCCACAGTAATTAGGCGGAGTTTTATTCTGACGGTCTATAAGTTCATTTAAATAAATGATGGCTTTATAAGGAGCTTTTATCTTGAAGGAAATTCTTGGTTTCTCTGTAATTAGACGCAAATGACGTGGTTCACTTCAGGAAAATAAAACTGTGAATTATAGTTGAGAATTTGAAGGATCTGCTGTCCGGTCACAGTCCTCACTTGCACTTCCTGTTATCACATGAACTCTTGTAAAGTTCATTCACAGACACGCATCAGTGAATCAGTGTAAAATCTAAGGCAGTTTTGTGACCTTACTGTTACAGGTATGCCCAGGGCCCCGTTAGACCCCCCCCACCCCCCACCTCACCTGTGCAGGTGTTCTTTGTTTCCTAAAAATCTTCTTTAATGTTTTTCTAAATCTCTTAAATATCTCTATCAGTGTTGACCTTTAGAGAATCCAATACTTATCATCTGAAATCTGACATATCCAATAATACTTACCTGCTGCACAGCTGCAGTTTGACTCATATCATATTCAGTGTCCCACACACACACACACACACACACACACACACACACACACACTGACAGCTAACCATGCATTCATTTTAAAGTTATTTGATACTCAGATATTACAGATGTCTGGTTACGTGTGTGTGTGTGTGTGTGTGTGTGTGTGTGTGTGTGTGTGTGTGTGTGTGTGTGGGATCTGACCACCCCCTGTTCTGTGTCCTGCTGTGTTAGATTTCCTCACCTCCTCCAGAAACTTGGTGACATCGTAGACTTTGTTGTGGATGATGATCCACGTTGATTTGAACGTGTTCTGCTCCTCGATCTCTGACAGTCTGTAGTATTTGACTCCATCGGGGCTCTTCTCCTCCTTTTCACCCATTTGTGTCCCTGGAAAGTCGGGCAGGTCGAACGTGAAGAGCCGCAGAGAGGCGACAGGAGCGGTGAAACGTCCGGTCCGTGATTATATAATCCCACCGAGTGTGTCGGGACCGTGACTCCGCAAACACACCGACATTTACCCCAGTTTCTATCAACGACACGGTCCCAAGTTTCAGCGCTGGAGAGCTCACCGCTGTCAAGGTAGACACAACACATCACGTGACTTCTGGCCTCTACTTTCAAAATAAAAGTCAGGTTGCTTTATGTGCTGTATCTTCATTTTAACACAGAAAAAAACAACATACTTTGTGGCAAATGTTTAGCCTTCTCTATTATAAATACTATTTTTAAAAACGTTTTCACAGCCATAAAAGTCTCTGGTTGATGCCAGCACTAGTTTCTCTCTCGTGTAGCATTTCATTCAAGTCATATAGCAAGACAGGTATTTTTCAGCTTTACCCATACAGAAATATAATATATGACTTATACTGTTTGTCCCGTGACAGTGATGTTGCCATATATGTCAACTATAAGGGGATATATTATTATCACATATACACATCACATATATATGAGGATATGAGTTCATAACTTATATGAAATACCCATAGTGACATTTGTATACATATATATATATATATATCAAAAATATCTATGTAAAAAGTATGTGTTAACATTATATATTTTATTTATTTATGCAAGTTTATTAAAACAACATATATGTTAAAAAATTTAAAAAATCTATATGTTTATTTGTGTTTTTCTTATTAATTTCTTATTTCATATATAGAAATTCAATATATGTACATCTGTTACAATTGTGTATGGGTAATAAAAATGCAATATGCATCACAGGTTTACTTTGGTAGTTTCCCATAATACTTCATAAAACTGTATTTTGTATAATATCTGTGTGTTGGTGTGGATCTGATGGAGTTATGTTTTACTTGCAAATTAAATTCTGTACCATTCATGTTTTGTTGTGCAAATCAAGCAAGGAGATACTGTTTGGAACTTTGGAAACACTCGTTCTTTTGCCGTGCAGAGAGAGAATTTCTATTGTCTAGATGTTCAGATGAGTTTTCCTGGAAGTAACTTTATCAGGGTTTCATCTTTCACAAGATTAGCTCTGTGATTTGAACGTTAAGATAATATACAAGTGGTACGAACATATGTCAGAAACTTTGTTTGGGTTTGCATTAAAATAATTTTATCTACATTGTAAAGTGTATTATTTTTTTTAATTCTTCTATTCTATTTAACATCAAGAGAGAAACAGTTTGTGGCTACAAGACAACACTTTGTATTTGATTATTTTTAGGTAAGCTACTCCTACATTCAGTATTGAGCAACTCATTAGGAACAAAGCAAAAATACATTAAGGAAAATGCATTTGTATTCATTCTTTTATTCTGTGATCTCTAAAAATATGTTTTGTCGACTTTGAGATACTTTATTTTGAAAACGCTACGGTAATTTCCGGTCAGACCGTGTTTGTTCCTGCCGACTTTGCGCAGTCTCTAAGATCCTGGCACGGCCACAAGGACTGCCCCCGTCATCCTCCCAGCGCTGCTATTGGTCGTTCTCTGTCTTACCTTGGACTGGGACTCTCTGATTGGTCCTCACCGTGTCAGTCATCAGTGAGCTCTGGGCGAGAACGAGGCTAAAGTTCACTTCAGTTCAGCAGCTTTCAAGGAAACAGACTTCTCACGCGAGCAGGGAGCCGAGGCGTTATCTCACGTATGTCACGTAATGTGGGTTTCAATCCCCACTCGGGGCCGGTTACCGGGCAGCCGGAGGTCCGGTACACACAGCTGACTCGTACGTGTGGAATAGTGAGATAAATTTGCCCATTGTTTGGAAAAAGTACTACTTTTCTTCCCTCAGCTCTTTCCCGCCGACTCCCAGCCAAAGATTGTGTGTTGATAAGTTGTGTCACTCCATAGTAAAAAACAACACCCACGCTACCGAGTGTAACTTGTAGCTGTGGATGTTAATAGAAATTCATGCTCTATAAATGAACCTTTGACATTGCAAAAGGAGTTGAAGTCTCTTAAAAATATAACTTAAATTTTTCATACTCATTTAGTTACAATTGTAAACCTACAGTCCCACTAGATGGTTTAAAAGTTTTCTTAGTATTCTTTCTCCTCTTCCGGGAATTTAAGATATTTAAAAAATTGTTGTAGACATATCTCTTTAATTTTCCTCAAATGAAATAAACACGAACCTAATTTCAGGTGATACGCCTAGCTGTTTATGACAGAAGGGATTTTGTTTGTGTAAGTGCAGTCCGAGTGAGACCGCTTTCCTGTCCTCACCCATCTTTAGCTAAAAGGACTATTGTTCGCAGGTCTTGCTTTGTTAAATCGTCTCTTTAATGCAACGATTTCCGTAAGACTGTAATTTCCCCTAGTAAATAACAATTTAACGGTCTAATGTAAATGTAAATATAAGGTTGGTGGTTTGACATTAATGTAAAATCTGATAAAAGCTAACTAGCTAGGTGGTTTCGGGGTCAAGGCTACATTAGGTGAGTTACACGGATTTAAGGCTTAAGCTAGCTATTTGAATTGTTGATTACGTTTTTGATATATTTAGTTTTACAACTTAAGCTGTGAAAACGTTGTTATGTTCACTGGAAGTTACCAGAGAGCAAAGTTTTTTGTTAAAATTATCATAAAACCGTGTCAATGTCAGGAGTGGCTATAAAGGGGCCGGGGCTTTTCCTTGTTGGCTGCTACACAAATACACAAGAGGCTAACAGTTTATGTGTGGGCTGTTTCTAATCCGCTTTACATGAATAATAAAGTAAAAAAATAAAAATAAATGTGTGGCCGAGAAGCTCAGAGAAAAGTTAAAATTTAGAAAAATCAAAGTACTTCAGGTAATTGTGCATCTAGCAGCAATAAATCTGGAGACAGGAGGACCGCAGCTCCCAGTGAGTCCAGTTCAAATCCCAGTCAAGTTTCACAGCACAGGAGGCAGAAGAGGAGAAGAAGCCAGTCTGAGTTAATTTACCAGGATACTGTTGTAGCATCATTTTCTGCTCTGGTTTCAGCAGAAATTCAAATTCACTAATGAACTAAAGTACTGAAAGTCTGTGTGATCAGTTAAGATAAACAGGATTTTATCACAAAGATCCAATGAAGGAAGAAAATCCACTAAAACTAAATAATGTCTGGGGCTGAATTTACTGTCGAACAGCCCAGTTTGAATTGTAATCTTTACACTCTCTGTGACTTGTAGCTCTGGTGGAGAGTGAAAAATAGAAATACCCTTTACTACCGTGCAAACTGAACAGCAGGAAACACCAGCTACCTCACTATCAATGTTCACTTTGTGTGTGTGCAGGATGAGTGGAGGAGTCCAGCAGTCGTTGTTTTTCCTCGGGCTCCCAGACCTGAAGAAGCTGGTCTGTGTCACTCTGACGCTCCAGGAGGAGGATGAGGAGCCGAGGAGCAAACAGATCAAGACCTGCAGGTGAACGACATGATGAAACGCTGCTCCTCTGTGTTTTCAGTTGTAACACTCATTCGGGGGATGGGGCGGCCAGATGTGCTGGAGGTTGTTTAGAGGTGTGAGGTGAACTTGACCCAGGGCAGAGGACATGTATATCTGTGAGTTTACAGTGATTCTCCTGCTCAGTGTGAAGAACTGAGTTGTGTGTGTGTGTGTGTGTGTGCGTGCAGAGAGCTGGTGCTGCTGTACTCTGATGTCCTGGCCTCTCCTGCTCTGGACTCCTTCACAGACATCATGGTGGTCATGGCTGTAAGAAACTTTCTGTTTATCTGTTTCTGTTTCTGTCTCTGTCCTTGTGCTGCTGCAACATGTATCAGGTGTTAACAAGATATAAAGTGATATATATATAATATATATAAATAAATAAGTGACAGTTACCATGGTAAATCTCTGTGGTGAACAGAGTTAAACTTTCCAAACCTAACATGTCCTCGGTTTCAAGGTCTAAAACACACACACTTTCCCATTCCTTCGACAACCATGAATGTTTGCTTCTTCTAAAGTCAGATTTGTTCATTTAAATATTCATATTTAATCCCTAACCTAAATATTTATATTCCAGACATGTGTAAATATCTTTTATGAGCTATCATATAATTATGTGTTTAATATCTGATGAGTATCTCCAGGGTTTCCCTCAGGAAATTATTCAGCAGTGGCGAGAAGCCAACGAGTCCTCCCTTCTCGTAGTCACATGTTGTCATCAGCCACACTCATGATTTATCATGGTAGTTATGTGATGTTTTATTTCAGTATATCAAAGCAGAACCACCTCCACTGTAGAACAACTCTTAACCTCTGAGGACACAGGAAAGATTTATAAGTCTGTCTGTCTGTCTGTCTGTCTGTCTGTCTGTCTGTCTGTCTGTCTGTCTGTCTGTCTGTCTGTTTGTATAATCTCAGGAAACACTGTCAGCTTGTCTCACTGACTGACGGTTTAACAGGTTTTGACACACGATATTTCTTCACTGTGGAAACGCTGCACGAACACATCAGGCTCTGCACACACGTTACATACAGACACAGGCACACACACACACACACACACACACACACACACACACACACACGAGCCTGAGGGAAGTAGTCTGAGTGGAGGAGGGTTACAACGATGAGGAGGTGATTCTAGTATTTTTTTTAATGCTAGGTTTGTGTCACTTTTCCTGAGAGCTTCTAGGGATGTTTCCAAGGTACAAAAAGGTGAAAGGGAAATCAAAATTCAGGCCCAGAATCTCTGAGACCAAATAGATATATAGATATTTACTTTATTTATCCCCCAGGGGAAATTCATCAAAATGGCCCAGCCCTCTCCAAAAATATGTGCATGGTCTGCTGAAACCAATCCACACTCCCTCCAGCAGGAGACCGCCTTAATTTGGATTTCTGACTGTGGGTAATAAAAAAAGGATCAAAATTTTCCTTCAAAAATCTCTCCAAAACCAAGAGTTAGTGGAAGTAAACTGAGTTTCAGAATCAAGGTTTGTGCCACTTTCCAGTCCTTTTCGAGCGTCACATGAAACGTATGACTCAGTCTCAGAACATTAGCTTTTTGATAGTTGTTTCCATGTAGATGACCAGTAATAATGTGAAATAATTAGTGTGTGTCTGTGTGTGGCTCAGATACATGTGTGTGTGCCCACACAACCCAAGCAGAGACATGCAGCTGAAATGGTCCGAATTCC